ACCCCCTCTACTCCAGCCCCTTCCCTCACCGCCGCTATCAGCGGCAAAGCCCGCGTGGAGGCCGGCGGCGGCCGGCCCTCTCCTCTCGCGCGGCGAGATCCCCTTCTGGCACGACGCATCGGCCCTAGACGAGGCGCCTGGCTGGCGGCGGCCCCGGGACCTGGCGCAAGGCGCCGGCTTCTGTGGCTGTAAGAGCAGCGTGGAAGCCGATTCTGGCGGTGCTAGGTGGTGGCTTGGCCGCGGCGGCTATGTGGCTCGGATCTGGCGTGGCGGCCATGGGCTACGCGGCTCGGTGGGTGCGGTGGAGCGGGGGCGGCGTGGGAGCAGCAACGCGGGGACTGGCGGGGCTGCGTGTGTCCACTGGGTCGGCCTTGTCTGGCTCGGCCAGATCTGGCAGCCTGGGCTGCGGGTGGCGTCAGGACCCCGTGCTGGTACGCTGGGGGGCGGCCCCAGGCTAAAATTTTAAAATTGTTTAAAAATGTTTCATTTTTTAAATTGTTCACATTTCTAGAAAAATGGCCATGAAACTTAAAAAACATTCCGAATTTTCTAAAAAATACCCATGCTTAAAAATATTCCAAATATGTTCCTGGAAATTTAAAAGATGTTCATGTTTTCAGACAATGTTTAATACATTTTAAACACGCCGATAGTAAGAAATATTTTTTTCCTGAAAGTTTTGAAGATGTTCATGTTTCCCAAAAATGTTTAATAAATTCTAAATATGCCGACAGTTAGAAGTGTTGAAAATTTCATAAAAGGTACATTGTTTCAAAAAATGTTCCAGGAACTTTTGAAAGAGTTTGTGTTTTCAATAATTGTTGCTGAAATTTTATAAAAATGTTCATAATTTCACAAAATGTTCCAGAAACTTTAGAAAATGTTTGTGTTTTCAATAAATGTTCCTGGAATAGTATGCAGATGATCATAATTTCAAAAAATGTTCATATTGTGAAAATATGTGAATGACAATGGCATCGGGAGATAAAATCCCAACCAAATATGACCTTTTCTCCGTGAAAGGTGACTGGCCGAACGAAGCTAGTCTGAATTTTCTTTCTCTGTTGCCCTAAAAAATCTCTATCCGTTTCAAAAAAAAAATCTCTCTATCGTTCTAAAAAAAAATCTCTCTTTCTCTGTTTCAGAAAGAAAAGAAAAAAGGAAGTGATGGGGGCCCAGCCCAGCCCAATGAACGAGTATGATGGAAGAGGCCGGTCCGGAGACGAGGTCCGACTCCGACCCGAGTGTTCGCATGGAAATATATACGCCAGTTGCCGCCGCCTTCTCTGGTTTTCGTTGAGAAGAATATCCATCGAGAGAGACAGAGAAATCCACGAAACCCTAAACCAACCAGGACAGGAGAGGAAAGAGGCGGAGCGGATCCGGCGATGTCCGTCGAGAAGATGCACTTCTCCATGCCGTTGGCCGCCGGCTTGGAGGGTTTCCCCTTCACCCGGTTCCAGGCGAAGCAGGAGGCCTTCACCATCAAGCCTGCTTGATCCAGGCGTGACGTTGAGGTCGATGACGGGCGCGGGGCGCGGCGTGGACGGCGCGAACAAGCCCACGTCCGGCGACCCCGAGAAACGGGTCTGGCCATCGTGCCTTGGCGGAGGAAAGCCGGGCAACATGGGTGTGGTCCGCAACGTCGGCGACTGGCAGTGCAGAGGCCAGGCGACCGAAGAGCATGTGCTCGCCGGGCCGACAGCCGCTGCAGGGCACCCGGCCGGACGGCCCATGCCAAGCATGAGGAGGGTGTGCGCTTTGTTGATGAGGTCCTCCTTCACGTCGACCGTGGCCTTGCACCGCGCGGCCTCCATCGCATCGCGCTGGGCGGCGAACTTGGTCGCGGCAGCATTGACCTTGATGACCGCTCTCCGTTCCCTCCTCTTCGCCGATTCTGCGTCCAACTTGGCGATCTCCTCCGGCGTGCGCTCCGACCGTGGCTTCCTTGGCGCCTTGGCCGCCTTCTTCTTCACCTTTGTGGGCGGGTCGACGGCCAGGCCGCCGGAATTCGGCGGGGCGTCGGCCATGGACGGAGGAGAGAGGGGGCGGCGGGAGGGACATGGGAGGGTTTGGGGAAATGGCGCCATATGGGGCGTGAGGGGGGTTGGTTTCTCCCACCGACAGGCGGGCCAGGGGGGACAAGCGCGCGCGTCCCGCCCGTCCGCTCGCTGTCCATTTCACTCCAAAACCGGCGCAAATTTGGGCCGGGGATGGGTCGAAAGCGGACACAAAGCGGACAAAAGTCCGTTTGCGCTCGGGCGCTGGGCCGTCTGGTTTGTCTGTTTTACCCCAAACGGATGGGGGCGGACAGGATAGGGTCGCGCGGTGGAGTTGGCCTAAGAAAAGAAAAAAAATACATTGTTTGCCAGAAACAGTGAGCCTGCATTCAGCTAATTACTTCAGCATTGTGAAGCAACTGAAAGTGACGAGGAAAAGAAAAACCAAGAAACATGATGAGTGACAAGGAAAAGAAAAAACCAAGAAACATGATGAGCGAATTTTAGCGCTGCTTGCTGACAGTTACGTAACTGATGCTTATGAGGGCATGTCCAATGGTGCTATCTTAGGACTGCCACGTAGGATAAATGATAAGGTGGAGGAGAAAGAACTCATAAGAAAAGGCTTGTCTTCTTGAGACAAGCCTTTTCATAATTGTGCTAAGGGCATGTACAATGGTTGATAAGACAGTCTTATCTTAAGTCTTGCATGTTATTTAGAGATGACAAATAAAATTGTCTACAATGGGTCATCTCTTAGTCTTATCTTCAATAACTAGCTTTTTCTAAAAACATGGTGAGACATATTGTGCTAAGATATCATCTCTTGCCTTCTCTTAAATAAGAGAAGGCAAGCCTTTTCTTATGAATTCTCTCTCCTCCACCTCATCATTTATCCTAGATGGCACTCCTAAGATAGCACCATTGCACATGCCCTTAGCACAATATGTCTCACCACGTTTTTAGGAATAACTAATTATTGAAGATAAGGCTAAGAGATGACCCATTGTAGACAATTTCTTTTATCATCTCTAAATTACATGCAAGACTTAAGATACGACTATCTTATCAACCATTGTACATTGCCCTGATCAGTGGAGTGGTAAGATGTGGAGTATGTTATTGGAGAAGATGCACCTGGTCGTCTGTGTAGGAAGTTGATCAATAGATATGTAAACCACACCTCCATTTTGAATACAAATTTCTCTTGACATTCAGCACAACATGTACATGACACTTTCAGTAGTGGAGGCTGTTACTGTCTGTCGTAAGCTGCTAATTAAGTACCGCATGCTATGCTTAACGGTAATTCTTTTTTGACAGCGTGCTTGCACGGCTACTTTATTGGGCACATTCAGCAGAGCACGACGGTACATTAATCAAATCATAGTGTCAGCAATAATTAAGGAGCAAAGTAGGAACCGTGGCCGACCTGATCTTGTCTTCACGCGCTGACGACCCAACCACCCTGTTTCTCCGGCGAGTCGTCCGCCGCAGAATAGAAAATGAAACCCGTCCCGCGTCCTCTGTGTTTCCCCACACTACCCTAGCCTCACATCAGATCTGGAGAGTAGATCAGAGAGCTCCCCCCTCACACTCACCTCGCCGGCGGTGCTCACCCCTGCAGCTGCAGGGTCTATGTGCTAGAGACCCTGCAGCCTCAGCCTAGCTAGCCTTCTCTCCCAACGCTTGCAATGGCGGACCCGGTTAGCATCACTGCTGCTGTAGGATGGGGCGTAACCGCAGTAGGTTGGCTCGCCTCACCCATCATTCCTAGGCTCCTCAACAAAGCTTTCACCGTCCTGGACTTTAACGCAACTGAGAAGCTGAAGATTGTTGATATGCAAGTTTTACAACTGCAGCGGGTGATGGAAGTAGTCGACGAGAGCACCTACAGGGCTCGCTTGGAGCCACTGTTAGACAAGCTTAGGTCTGCTCTCTACGAGGCCGAAGACATCTTGGATGATGTTGAGTATCAGCGCCTCAAGAAGCAGACCCAAGATGCCAAGTCATCCGGCAGTAAGATGGATTCACTGAAGAAGACTCTTCGGTCTGCCATGCCAAGATCCCTCCTAAAAGATAAGGTATTTCCCTGCCTTCATGCTTGGATGTGCTCATCTTCTTGTGCCACATAGATATGTATGACTTTAATCTTGAAATGCATTCTCACTTGTTTGCCACAATTATGTAAACTAGTAGATGTTAAGACCTTGAAATGCAGTAAGAGAGGGATCTCACCCCTTTCCCCACCCCCGCCGCCGCTCCCACGAGCGGGCCGGGGGAAACCTAGCCCCGCCCCCAGCCTCTCCTCCTCCGGCCTCCTCCTCCCTCGCCGCCGCCTAGGGGTGCCGCCGGGCGAAGCCCGGTCGGTGTGGGCGGCGGCGGGGTCGCTCCATCTCCTCCTCGCGGAGCTCCTGGCCGGCGTGGGACGGCGGGCTGCAGGAGGCGTCGGGCTGTGGCGGGGCTCGACGGCGCGGATCCGGGAGCTCCTGGTGGTGCCGGCGTGTCGGCCCCGCTGGTGCCTCGTGGTGGCGCGGCGGCTGCCTGGTGGGGCGTGCGTGGGTGTGATTCGGCGGCGGATCTGGCAAGGCGGCGCGGGCCGCGGGCGGTGTGGGCGGCGGCTGGGGTCCGGCTTCGGGCTCCCGGCGGCTGAGATGGTTCCTCTCCGTCGCAGGCGTGCGGCGGTGGTGCGGCTCGGCCGGTGGCGGTCCGGCGACCTAGTGGTGGTGGCCGGCGGTGCTCGTGGTGGTGGTGCTTCCACTTGGGGGCTCTCTGTGCGGGGAGGCAGGGGAGCGGCTTGGGCAGGGGCGGCGGCGCCGACGGCGTGCCGGCTGCAGCGCGAAGGCGGGAACTTTACGGGCCTCGGAGATCCCGGCCGGGCCTGTGCGGCCACGGGCCTGGTATGTTCCTGCTATTGCGTCCGGTCAGCTACCGTCATCGACGGTGGAGGTGGGGCCCTCCCGCGTGCCGACGGTGCTGCTGCCCTAGTCCCGGCTCCTCTTCTTCACTGTGCAGGCCATGCTCCGCGGTGCCGTGGTGAGACAGCGTGGGAAGCTTCATGTCCGGGTTGGCGCAGGGTGGTGGTCGGTTTGGTGGCGAGCTCCGAAGTGCCTGAGGTGAAGGTTGGGATCGGGAGAAATCCCTGTTGGCTTGACCGACACCGACGCGGTGGCGCATGAGGGTGCCGCCGGACCTTGCTGGAGGGCGTCGGGGCTACCCTTCCTCTCTCCTCACCGCGTACCGGGGGAAACCCTTGGCAGCAGCGTCGTCATCGCCGCATCCCTTCTTGGAGGTGTTGTTTGGTACCGGCGCTTCGGAGGCTCGGAGCTGGGTGGGCGATCTTCGATGGTTGCAACGGCCACGAGGCTTCTTCGTTTTTTGTCGATCTGCCGTTGTCGGCATTTGTTTCTCTTTCATTTTCTTTATCATTTCTTTTGGGCGTGACTGTGCTGCTTCCGCCCCAGCACCTATCGTTTGCTGTATCGGTTGGTTGCTTTGTATACAAAGCGGGGGGAAATCCTTTTTCGGTAAATGCAGTAAGAGATACGACACAGGTTGTTAGGAAAAATAGGATTAGTTTCTTGGAGCCAAATGAATCAAGAGTTTATATAGTATTTTATTAGGAGTAATTAGCCCAATCATCAGCAATAATCAAAGATTGTCACACTCTTCCACTAGCTAGCAGTCTTCCACAAGTTCCTCCTCCCTGTGTAGCCCTGACAGCACAACTTTTGGTGTTTGGTCCTTTCCCGGCAGGACAACAATGCCTCTCGGTGCACTCTTCTTCATACATGATGCATGATTTGTGTTACTCGATGCAGAGCCTGGGGTCCCTCTCCTTTCTAAAAAGTAAAAACTCTCCTTCATACAGTAGTGTAGAGTAGCACCGCCATCGTCTACATTACCAGTTGTTCCTTCTTTTACTAAATCTTTCTTTCCTCTCCCCAAGCCCAATCTAGAGGAGCATGAGAAGCAACAGGGCAACAGCCGCTACGAACGAATCGATTTATTTGCAAAAATCAGTTAGATATGTCCAGTCCGAGTAGTACTAGTTTGAGTTAGTTTTCATGTCGTGTGTGGCCTTGTGCTACTCTGGTTAGAAGTGCTTTGCATGTATGGTATTAGGAATTGGTGTTCGAGTAGAATTTGAGTCGGCATAGACAATAGCCATAAAAGATATGAAAATCGATAAGAGAAAGCTACGAGGCATGATACATGCCTAAAATTTCAGGTTACTGCATGTGCTAACAAAGTGTTATTTGGTTTTTGCAGGAGAGTGGTATGTCAAAAGTGGAATTGAAGAAGAGCCTAGAGAAGATAGAAAGTGCTATAAATGATGCATGTGAAGTTTTGAAACAACTGAACTTGCCAGGTGGACATAATGATGATGGGAGGCGAGCTGTTGCTACCAATTCACGCCGTGCAGTCACTACTGCAGCCCCTCCGATAGGAGTAATTGGTCGGGATAAGGATCGTGACAAGATAATCGCAATGCTTCATGAGATGGAAGACCATTGTCAAGCAAATACTGTTAGTGATAAATGCTATTCTGTAATTGGCATTCATGGAATGGCTGGGTCAGGGAAATCAACACTTGCACAGTGTGTTTATGATCATGAGAAAAAGTGTAGGAAAGACAAAATGGAAGGACATTTCGATATTGTCATGTGGATTCATGTTTCTCAGAAATTTGATTTGGATACCATTTTTAGGGAGATGTTTGAGGGGGCTACAGGGGAAGAATGCCCGAAATTCAATAGTCGTAATGTCCTGAAGGAAAAACTGGAGGATGAACTGCGTGGGAAACAGATTTTACTGGTACTGGATGATGTCTGGTACAACAGTAGGAATTCGGGAGACCGTGAAGAACTAAAAACGTTAATTTCTCCTCTGAATGTTGGAAAGGAAGGAAGCAGAATCTTGGTGACAAGTCGAACTGAAGCTGCATTAGTAGCTCTAGGTGCTGTAAAAGAGAGATGTATTCCAATATCTGACTTGGATGATGAAGTGTTCCTTAAAATGTTCATGCATTATGCACTTCGGGATGCAAGGGTAAGTGACCATGATAGAAGAATACTTGAAATGATTGGGGAGGACATTGCAAAAAAGCTGAAGGGATCACCTCTAGCAGCCAGAACAGTGGGTTCACGGCTCCGTGGGACACAAACTGTTGAGTTTTGGAGGAGTCAGAAAGATCGAGACCTTATGAATGACACGATGGGAGCTCTATGGTGGAGCTACCAGTATCTTGATGAGCAGGTCAGGCGATGCTTCGCTTACTGCAGTATTTTTCCCAGGCGGCATAAGTTGAGACGTGATGAGCTAGTAAAGTTATGGGTGGCAGAAGGGTTTATAAAGACTAGTAAGCCTGAAGAGGAAATGGAAGATGTTGCTAAAAATTATTTTGATGAATTACTGTCGGCCTCATTTCTGCAAAAGGTTGAACTTCGAGATGGACGTGAGGTTGATTACTTTACGATTCATGACTTCCTGTGTGATTTGGCGGAGGAGGTTGCTGGAAGAGATTGCTTCAGGATTGAGAAAGGCTTCACAGGAGAAGTTCCTCAAGATGTTCGCTATCTTTTTGTTGGGACCTATGACACAAAGATCCTTGCTGAGAAGATATCCGGATTGCAAAAATTACGCACTCTCATCATCGGCGACAGGATACATATTAACTCAAGTACTGCGTGCAAAGTCTTTGCGGGTATGTTCACTAAGTTAACCGAGCTGCGGAAATTGCGGGTACTGAAGATAAATTTTGTTGGACTAGCTCATGCTAGGTTCTCATTCCCAGATTCTATTGGTCAGTTCAAGCATCTACGATATTTTGCTTTTGTGGTGACTGCATTGGTCGAGCTAACTTTATCGGGCGCCTTTACCAAGCTTTACCACATGCAGGTGGTAGACTTTCTTTCTTGCCAACGTTTGGATTTTTCTAGAGGTGCAGATATGATGAACCTTGTCAACTTGCGCAGTGTAATCAGCTGGGCAGATTTCGATTTTCCTAACGTGGGCAGGTTGATATGGCTCCAGATGCTACCATTCTTCAGAATAAGGAGGGAACAGGGCTATGAGCCACATCAGCTGAAACACCTAAACAAGCTTCAAGGCAAGCTGGCAATCCATGGTCTGCAGAATATTGAGAGCAAGGAGGAAGCTCTTGAAGTCAATCTTGCTGGCAAGGAAAAACTCACAGAACTGGTACTGTGCTGGGATGATGATAGCTGCAGTCCGGAAATTCAAGCAGAGGTACTTGAGGGTCTTTGCCCATCCAAGTATCTTGAAAGACTAGAAATCCGGAATTATCACAGTACAAGGTTACCGAGTTGGATGATGGGTAAGCATAACTGCAGCCCAAAGAACCTTAAAATACTTGAGCTCCGTGGATGGATCCAACTGGGACCTGCTCCTGACCTTGGGGCTTTCATTCATCTTCAGTCGCTATTTCTTTCTGCCTGCAACTGGGATGCCTTACCATGCAACATGGAGCACCTCACAGCGCTCAAGAAACTGGATATACAGTCATGCGAGAATATACAATCGCTCCCAACACTGCCCAAGTCTCTTGAGTGGTTTCAAGTCATGGGCTGCATATGGGATGCCTTACCAGGCAATATGGAGCACCTCACAGCGCTCAAGAGACTGGATATAAAATCATGCAAGAATATACTGTCGCTTCCAACACTGCCCAAGTCTCTTGAGGAGTTTAACATCATGAACTGCAGCAGGGATGCCTTACGAGGAAATATGGAGCACGTCACATCGCTCAAGAAATTTGAGATCAGGTCATGCAAGAATATGCGGTCGCTCCCAACACTGCCCAAGTCTCTTGACGAGTTTATAGTTGTGGGCTGCAGCTTCAATGCCTTGCCAGGCAATATTGAGCACATCACATCACTCAGGAGACTGAATATACAGTCATGCGAGAATATGCAGTTGCTTCCAACACTTCCAAAGTCTCTTGAGGAGTTTATCATCTTAAAATGCAGCTTGGATGCCTTACCAGGCAATATGGAGCACCTCACAGCGCTCAAGAGACTGGATATAAAATCATGCAAGAATATACAGTCGCTTCCAACACTGCCCAAGTCTCTTGAGGAGCTTACCGTTACAGACTGCAGTTTGAATGCCTTACCAGGCAATATTGAGTGCCTCACATCACTCAAGACGATGAATATACGGTCATGCAAGAATATACAGTCGCTTCCAACACTGCCCAAGTCCCTTGAGGAGATTACAGTCAAGTGGTGCAGTGACGAGTTCATACAATCTTGTGTAACGACTGATGATCCAAACTGGCAGAAGATTGAGCACATTCCAAAAAAAAACAATTAAATTCTATAGTGAAAAAGGTCCACACGAAAGGTATGTAGTTAGATTCTTTTGATGTTTTCGTCTTCCATTTTTTGTGTTAAATAAATGTTACTGAAAATGTTAGCCGTTAAGGTTGCTGGTATTTTTCTGATGGTTGCTGGTATTTTTCTGATTCAGTTGATAACTGTCAGCCGCGTGCCCTTTGGCTGAGGACAGGAGATGAAGCCGTCAGACTCTTGCTAAATCTGCATGCTGTCTAAATGCGTAGCCTCTTCGTTGGATTTTATCTACTTTAATTTGGTTTGTTGAATCTTGCATGTTTATGCGTGAAGTGGTGCTGCGCTCATACTCTCATAAACTACGGCCGGGCACTGCAAAATGCCACGTCTCCATGCAGTCACGAACAATGGATTTTTGAGTTGTTTACGATATATGGATTTATGACTTGTTTACAGTATATGGATGTAATAACGTGGAACGATGGAACACCAGATATGATTTGCTTCCTATGTATGATTTGTAACATCGCCATATGCATGATGAACCCCAAACTGTTTGATTCCTAGCTATATATGATTTGTAACACTTTGGAATGGTGGTCACAGAATCTGTTCCTTTACTGTCGTTTGTAGCATCATTCACCAAACTATCTGATTTGATTGCTAGAATGGTATGGTATGAAGTTTAACAGATTGGGTGGAGCCAACCGGGGGACCTGCTCTTGACATTGAGTCTTCCATTCATTTCCAGTATTAGAACGCTAAGGCTTTACGTGGATTGTAATTAGTGATTGCATTTGCCGGCCTGTCCTCTGTTCTGCACATGCTCTGGTTGGCAACGTTGTTTGGGCAGACACAATTTTAGTGTGTCCGCTTAGGCGTTAGGCCTGCAAACACGATCGATGTCCTTTGGGCTTTGGCCTTGGAGTGGACAGTTCCAGAATCTTTGCTTTTCTAACTTTTGTTCATCCTAATCAATGAAAGCAGCGTTGCTACCTTTCGTTTACAAAAATGTTTAAAAGAAGGATGTGACCTGTAGCATGAAAACAAGAACGCCATAAACTTCTCACCGCTGCCAAGTGAAATTCTGTAGATCATCACGCCACACGCTATCTTGTCAGCAAGGTGATCCCATCTGTGACAACTCCACGCACTCGAAACAGCGACCACTTTGTACTCTGAAAGCTGATCTCATGGCGACTCCACTGAATCTGGACAAACAAAAAGACACAAGTTTAGATACCAGAGAAGAAACTTGGGTACAACTTGTACACATATTTGAGATCTCGCGAGCCATAAGACAAACAGATTATAGGCGCTCGTGGTATCTCATTGGTAATACTGCCACACAAGTTGGAATACATATCCAGGCAGAGACAGAGGCACGTAAACAAAAGGAAACTGACTCATGAAAAACTTTGTCACCGAAAATTGGTATGTTCATGTTCCAGGAGTCCATATACTAGTATACTACCTAGGCACCTGGCAGTATAACAAACAAACTTGAACTGAAAAAAAAACAGAGAAAGAAACTGGGTGTATTGGTAGCGACAACCAACATACTCATGACTCATAATTGGGTGCCGTCTACCATCCTAGTACAAAACTTAGTCACAAAGAAGAAATAACTACAAAACATGGTGTCCACGTAATAATTGCTAATACATGATCCTTGTACTTTTTTTCTTTTACTTTTGTTTCATGGCTACCGTTTGCTTGCAAATGGAAGACATTGCGTTCATCTACATCAAGTCTATCTACTGTGTGCTTGAGGCATCCACCAGTAATGACTAATGAGAGAAGAAACTGCATCAATCAGAAGATCTTTAGGTCAGTCCAGTTCAGGTCCCCCTGTTGATGGATGGATGGACCTCTCAGCTTAGCGCTGCCAGAACAAACAACCGAGTCCAACTACATGCTGCGCTAGTGTTTTTCTTTTTGTCCGACATCACTTAAAAGGGTCCACTGTCATATCTAGTACAGTTAAGAAAAATAATATGAATTGCATACATAGATCAGTTAGCTTTACCACAGTTGTCTATTGATTGAAACTGGTCATTTCACTGTCACATTCTTAGGCCGGGAACAGCCATGTCAAATGTCACAGAAACTGAAGCAAGAAGTAACATGAAAAAAAGATCAACATATACATGACTATTGCCAAGTGAAATTCATTGTCATGTGCCATCTTGTCTGAAAGGTAGGTGTTCACATCTGTCACAACCCCACGCTTGTCGCTTTGAACTCAGAAAGCTGATCTGATGACGACTCCACCAAATCTGGACAAACAAGACAAAAACCTCAGACAACACACAAGATTTTCCACCCAATTTGTGCACAGTAATTCAAGAGTTTTACAAGCTTAAAAGGAAAGAAGTTTTAAGGTACTTAGGCAAGTAGTATCACAGGAAGGTGCAGAATAGCATAATATTGATCTCAAGTAAATTTGAAACGTGGAGACATTGACAGCAATAAAGAGCAATTTCAGTTGCCCATGCTGATAAGCACTCACTTCGATCTCATGAGGTTGATTCACATAAAACAACATAAGTGGGATAACATTTCAGTTGCCTGTGTGCACAAGTTATGCAAGTTTATCTCAAAACAGCATCGCAAGCTAAAATTATACTACATCTGAAGATGACTAAAAAAGAACTTATCTGCCTCCTTACATCTATCAAAATAAGAAGTGTACAAAATGAGCTGTCTTTGACTTGAGTGAATTTTCTCAAGGTGAAACAATCCGAGGTAAACTGGATACGAAGTTGTGTTCCTTCTATGTTTATCTTGACCACCAAAACTACTTCTCGAAAATAATTATCATGATACAGTGTTTTTAGTGATTCCATCAGGACTCGTGCATAAGCTACTCATAGTGCACAAGATTATTTCTCTTACTAACTCCATTCTCTTAAAGTGGCAATCAAAACAAACAAGAAAAGAAACACAGTACTGTTCCCGAGCTCTCTTAGTTTTCCCATGAGCATAAGAAATTAAACACTGCTAAATCAAACAAGAAATACCAATTGCCATAATGAACAGGAAGCAATAGACAGGTCAATTATAAATGGAAGGACTGAGATAACTTGGAACCGATAGAAACTTTACCACTTCATATTCTCCTTGAAGACAGCAATGATGGTGGAAAGTTGATATATGGGTATGTCTCATGCAAACGATAATTCTGTTTCTCATAAACCCTCTGAATCTGCAACGTCTTGACATCCATTGCGAAATATCCAGTAAGTCGATCATTTAGAGATGATGAGGCGTCTATCCTTGTCAAGAGCAAGTACCTCTGTGTTGCATCTCTGATACGATATTTGTACCCAGAATCTAGTAGGAATGTCTTCTTGACCTGCCACTGCCTGGGACTCTTGCCTGTGTTTCGTGCAACGGTATAGATGAGATTGGATGTAGCTTCACCATGGAAACCAAACATCCCAAGCCTGCCTTCCCCTGCCTCCACAATGGCTAAACCTTCCTTGTTCCATTCTCCGGGCGGGAGGTCAGCAATGGAGAACTCCATCTTCCTGGTGTCAAGCAAGAGTAACTTTTTCCTCCCGAATTCCACCCAGTCCCAGTAGAAGCAGCCGTAAGCATAATGGCGCCTGAGAATAAAAGGGTGGACCCATGACATCTCAGCCATGTCGTGCTTGCCAAGGGCCAAATCGCTCCAACCCTTGGATGCAGCGGCTTGCCATTGTCCTGTGTTTGAAGAGAAGATGAAGGCAGCCAGACTAGTTTTGCAATTCGCCATCAATATCACTCTGAATGTTGTCTCTCCCGCCGCTATCTCCTCCTCGCCGAGGGGATCCAGGAAAGCCTTGCACTGGGCCTCGCTTACCATGGGGAACAGGGGCTCAAGCGAGGCGTCTAGGCCGTGAGGTACCGGGGGGAGCAGGACGTAGCGGCGGTGCAAGGGGTCGCACACCGCGAGATCTTTGAAAACCGGGGGCTGCTCATGTTGTCGGAGGTCGCGGTCGAGGAGGACGCGGCCGTCGCGGGAGTCCTGCACGGTCCAGTGGCAGTAGGAGTCGATGAAGGAGAAGTAGAAGTCGGCGGCGAGGGCGAGCGCGCGGGCTGCCGGCGCGGATGGGTGCGGCGGCAGAGCGGGACGGAATCTGCCGTAGTCGAGGAATCCGAGGAGTGGTGGTGCGTGGAGGCGGCGGAAGCTGCGGAGGAAGGAGCCGTCGGTGGTGAGTCGGCGGAAGGAGACACAGGCGGCGGAGGCGCGGGCGAGGTCTTCCGCGGTGGGCAGCCGGAGGAAGATCTCCACCAGGAGGTGGGCGGGGATCTCCGTCAGAGGCGACGGCATATCCTTGCTGCTGGTCGCCATTGGCGTTGTAGGCCGGCGAGGTTGGGCCCGGCGAGGTAGGGCGGAGGAGGCAGCCGCCGGGAAACCCTCGACGAGATGGGGAATTGGGAGGAGTTGTGTGCGAGTGTGATAGCGTGGGTGTAGGCAGCTGGAATGGGCCTTTGACGGTAGTAACGAGCCCAGTTTCCACGCCTGGTACAGACTACCACCTTACACCCCAAATCTGTCTCAAAAAAACAAAACCTTACACCCCAAATTTTCCAAAAAAAAAAAAACTTATACAACAAAAGAAAATTTCAAACTTGAGCTGCAATTTTCACTCAATTTTTTTATTGAGCTACATTTATTATCAAAAATTAAAATTATTGAGCTGCATGTATTCTCAATAATTAAAATTATTGAGTTGCATATAGGATTTCTGCCAGACTCCTATACAGCTTTACGAACCTTCTGATGCGTGTATTCTTCATTTGTCACATTCCTGTCGCATGCACCTTCGTTGTAACTATTCGAACAACTCGACTCTTAGACATAGGTATATGTTTCAGATTGTAGGATAGGGGTTTTGCTAGAGATGGCTCCATTACTACCACTCTGCCACTTGTTCGATTTTACGCATTGAAATTACTCTATTTTTCAAGTCACTTTAAAAATATGGAGTACCCAAGTAACCTTACCATTTACCACAGCTGTTGCTTGGTACAAACTCTTAATTTCATTGTGCCAATAGCATAGACTCTATTAGTCGAAGAGATCAGCAGGTACGAGGATAACAGAGACAGAGATAAAGGCTTCGTCAGCCAGTGGCGGTGCCAGAACTGCAATCTTGTGTAGTCATTTTCAAATTGTGTAGTCAAGTATATAAATTTGAACAAAAAAATTCAACATTTTTTGCAAGCATATGCTAGTTTCATCAAAAAGCTGGGTAGTCAATTGACTACCCAGCTGATGAGTGGCTTCGCCATTGTCGTCAGCAGAGACGAGAGCAGGGCCGTTTTGAAAATCAAAAATAAAAGGGGCGATCAACGAATTGACCAGGTGTAAGCAGAAGGAACTGGAGCAGAGCAATATGTAGCATACTTTTCCGTTCGAGACCCGTATCTAGACCCTTGTGATCGATAGTCGGACCCATGCTGACGGCACCGAAATCCTGCACCTCCCGCGGAACTAGTACCACCAATAGATAAGCCCGTCCCTTCTTGGGCAACCCTGAAAGTATCTTCTTGTACGGACTGAAACAAGACAAACTACTCGCGGGACTCACTTAAGATCTCTTTCTTTAGTTTTCTGCTTTGTTTCTTTCTTAGAAAAAAGTAGCTTCCCTTATTAGTAGCGCTAGTATCTTTTCATAATGATGACTTTTTTTCAGGGCTTCCTAGATTTTGAGAAGCTAAGGCATTGCCGGCTGGGGGGAAATTTGATCGGAACTAAGAACAACTAGTCACGATTGGGGACAAAGCTCAGCTAGTATACGTAATGTGTTCAAGGCGCATTTCCTCCAACAACTAGTAATCTTGTCTCCAAATAACAGCCACACCACTGCTTGCACTAATCGAAGCAAGAAGTAGCATGAAAGGAACCAAATTATGGATATGAACGCTGGCAAGTGAAGAAGCCATGTAGATTGTCATGTTACCCCTTTGTAGGCAAATAGGCGATCGCAGGTGAGTGAAAATGCATGCTATTGAAATCACAAACGACTATGAACTCAAGAATGCTGATCTGATTGCAGCTCCGTCAAATCTGAAGAAAAGGGACCAAAGATCAGACAATAGAGAAAATGTCCACCCAGTTTGTGCATAATCAAGATTTCACGAGGAACAAATCATCAGTACTTCTACTGGCCATCCAAACTTAGTGCCGAGGGTACCATACCGTTTTGCCACTAGTCAGAATGCGCCTGTTCTAGCAACTCTAACTAATAATTAAGGAAAAGAATCTTTGACTTGAAAGTACACAACAGCTAGCTTTTACCAAAGCTGTCAATTGATATGAACTCTTAATATCAATGTCACATTCTTAGGCAGGGAACATTCACGTTGATGTTACACTTAATTAACCAAAACACGGATATGACCACCAGCAGGTGAACCAATGTAGATCGAGTTGTCTTGCAGGGAAGCCGATCACGTCTGCGAGAACTCCAAGCTGTTGAAATCACAATCACTTTGAACTAAGAACGCCGAGTGATTACGTACGGCTCCATCGAATCTAAACAGACAAGATAGAAGTTTAGGCACCAGCGAAGAATCTAGCAGAGTAGCATTGTCATATTGGTAAATAACTAAATATTGGTCTCAGCAGAAATTGAACGTGTCACTACAAACACTTGCTTCAGTGTGCTTAGATTGGAATTTGTATATAAGTTGGAATGCATAGCCAGACAGAGACAAAGTCACCATGTTGGTAATATACTACCTGGTATATATGCACCTAGCAGTATAACAAACTTCTAGCTTAAAAACAAGAAAGAAACTGGAGGTATTGGTAGTGAGAACCAACATACAAGCTGCTGTCAGCCATCCTAGTACAGAAATGATGCACAAAACTGGGTGCCCTCTCAAATTCATCTTTACAGATTTTGAAATACACAATCACCTAAAAATTCCATAAGTTTCAGTAATTAATAGCATTGTCACATTGGTAATATTGATTATTGATTTCAACTGAATTCGAAACATTTTACTGCAAACACTCGCTTTAGTGTGTTTATTAGAATTGTAGTTTGCAACACAAGTTGGAATATATAGCCGGACTGACGCCAGTCAACATAAAGGAATGAGTCATAAAAACCTTTAAGTGGTACTTCCATGTTACACACAGGACGGCACGAAATCATATACTACCAAGGTGTTGGGGAACGTAGTAATTTCAAAAAATTTCCTACGCACACGCAAGATCATGGTGATGTATAGCAACGAGAGGGGGAGTGTATCTTCATACCCTTGAAGATCGCTAAGCGGAAGCGTTTATCAACGCGGTTGATGTAGTCGTACGTCTTCACGATCCGACCGATCCAAGTACCGAACGCACGGCACATCCGAGTTCTGCACACGTTCAGCTCGATGACGTCCTTGCCTTCTCGATCCAGCAAGACGGGCGAAGTAGTAGATGAGTTCCGGCAGCACGACGGCGTGGTGACGGTGTTGGTGAAGAACAATCTCCGCAGGGCTTCGCCTAAGCACTACGGAAACTATGACGGAGGATAAACTAGAGGGGACGGGGTTGCCGGCACACGGCTTGGTGTTTCTTGATGTGTCTTTGGTGCTAGCCCTGCCCCTCTATTTATATGTTGAGCCTTGGGGTCGAAACTTGGAGTAAAAGCCTCCACAAAGTCGGTTTCACCCGAAAGGCAAGAGTCCTTCTCGGACTCCAGGGCCAGACGCCAGGGTTCCCGGCGTTGGCGTCTGGCCCCAGACGCCAGGGACCGTGGCGTCTGGCCCCTAGACTCCTTGTGGGCTTTCCAAAAACCTTGTGGGCTTTCCCCTTTGGCCCAAATAACGTGTTCTCGTACCCAAACATTTCGGGAAACATCCGGAACCCCTTCCGGTGAATTCCGGAACCCTTCCGGAGATCAAACACTATTATCCCATATATCAAACTTTATCTCCGGACCATTCGGAGTTCCTCGTCATGTCCATGATCTCATCCGGGACTCCGAACAACATTCGGTTACCAACATACATAACTCATATAATACTATATCGTCAACGAAACGTTAAGCGTGCGGACCCTACGGGTTCGAGAACTATGTAGACATGACCGAGACACGTTTCCGGTTAATAACCAATAGCGAGACCTGGATGCCCATATTGGCTCCCACATATTCTACGAAGATCTTTATCGGTCAAACCGCATAACAACATACGTTGTTCCCTTTGTCATCGGTATGTTACTTGCCCGAGATTTGATCGTCGGTATCCAATACCTAGTTCAATCTCGTTACCGGCAAGTCTCTTTACTCGTTACGTAATGCATCATTCCATAACTAACTCATTAGCTACATTGCTTGCAAGGCTTATAGTGATGTGCATTACCGAGAGGGCCCAGAGATACCTCTTCGACAATCGGAGTGACAAAACCTAATCTCGAAATACGCCAACCCAACATGTACCTTTGGAGACACCTGTAGTACTCCTTTATAATCACCCAGTTACGTTGTGACGTTTGGTAGTACCCAAAGTGTTCCTCCGGTAAACGGGAGTTGCATAATCTCATAGTTACAGGAACATGTATAAGTCATGAAGAAAGCAATAGCAACATACTAAAAGATCGAGTGCTAAGCTAACGGAATGGGTCAAGTCAATCACATCATTCTTCTAATGACGTGATCCCATTAATCAAATGACAACACATGTCTATGGTTAGGAAACATAACCATCTTTGATTAATGAGCTAGTCAAGTAGAGGCATACTAGTGACACTATGTTTGTCTATGTATTCACACATGTATTATGTTTCCGGTTAATACAATTCTAGCATGAATAATAAACATTTATCATGAAATAAGGAAATAAATAATAACTTTATTATTGCCTCTAGGGCATATTTCCTTCAGTCTCCCACTTGCACTAGAGTCAATAATCTAGTTCACATCGCCATGTGATTTAACATCAATATTCATATCTGTATATGATTAACACCCATAGTTCACATCGTAATGTGACCAACACCCAAAGGGTTTACTAGAGTCAATAATCTAGTTCACATCGCTTATGTGATTAACACCCAAAGAGTACTACGGTGTGATCATGTTTTGCTCGTGAGAGAAGCTTAGTCAACGGGTCTGTCACATTCAGAGCCGTATGTATTTTGCAAATATTCTATGTCTACAATGCTCTGCACGGAGCTACTCTAGCTAATTGCTCCCACTTTCAATATGTATCCAGATTGAGACTTAGAGTCATCTGGATCGGTGTAAAAGCTTGCAGCGATGTAACTCTTTATGACGGGCTCTTTTATCACCTCCATAATCGAGAAATATTTCCTTAGTCCTCAGTAAGGATATTCTTGACCAATGT